CACGGCTCCGACTTCGATTGTTGTCCGCTCCTCGAGTGGACGTCGAGTCGGGCTCGCGCCACGTCGCACTTCTGGATCGGACGACGTCCTCGCTGCCGATTCTAACCTCAAAATATATCATCTACAACCAGAGACAAGAGACCCTCCACCAAAGACATCCTCCACTCGTATAGCCCTGGATAGACGATCAAATTCCGAACCAATTCCGATCAAAGTAGACATGCTGATGACTGGTGGTCACCATCTACCATCAAATTTTGACGGGCCCCACTTTTTTGTTCAAAGTAAGATCAGAACGGAGTGCCACCATTCATCATTTCCTGCCACAGGAAACATTTCTGCCAAGTTTTCATTTTAAAATGAAGCCAATTAGGTAATGAGTTTAAGACTGATGACTCCCGACACTTTGATGCTACTTTGATCGAAATTGGTTCGGGAATTTGATCGTCTATCCAGGGCTTCACTCAGCTGTTACTTTCGGGGCTTCAAAATTAAACTGTTGACTTACCTACATGGTTGATGTTTAGCAACGCGTTGGCAGTTTCGTTTTGCAATCAAGCCGAAGTTTGAGTAACTTGTTTCCGAAGCTCATCATCCACCATGAAGGTAGGTCAACAGCCGGAATTAGGGTGATGACTGTTACTCCCTTGTAATTGTTCATAAGGAATTGTTATATCCCCGAAAGTACAAGCTTCCACCTGGCGCCAAGAGACCAGTGGAGTATCTCTCGTCTCTTCCCCAAGCATGTAGGTAATTTTTGCCTTCAAAATTTGAAGTTCCTGATTTCAAAACGTAGTCCAAATCATAATTCCTTCGAGTTCCGTGGTTCCCGATCATATCCTCAGTGAACCCGATCACAATCATCGTGGCTCATCGCAAATCTCATCCGTTCTTGTATTTCCTCACCCCTCACCTCAATGCCCCCCTCCGACGACCCCCCTCCCCCGAATGACCTTTCCAACGTCACTTTCCAAAGGGTCCGTTTTTCGTTTTGAGCTAAACCACGACTCCTCGTTAGGAACCCGCCGATAACGATAAGAAAGTTGACCAAGAGCACAACAAAGCCACGACCAAGCCAGTGACGTGGCGTGCTTTGCGATACATCGATTGATCTGCCATTTAAACCCATGGGGAAGGGTCGATAGAAGGGTGTTCGCGACGAACGCTTCAACGATCGATTCTTTGGCATGGCTTCAAATGGGGGATTATCGATAATCGATCACTCACGCCTCGCCACTGGACCGCGCAGAGGGGGGCGAAGTCCGGGCCGGGCGCGCTGTGCGGGTTGCATAACGCGACCCCCGGTTCCCGCGACGCCGCGCACGTTCTCGCGCTGGGCGTCGCGACGCGCCGCCCCGCGCCGGTAATAACAGCTTAATAGCGCCTCGCTCGTGATTTTCAACGCGCTCTGGGTTCTGACACCCCCTCCTCCCCCTCCCTGCAACCCATGACCCCCACCCCCCTCCCGCCTTCGCGCCGCGCGCGGCGCTGCCTGGTCTCGCGCTCCGCGTTGCCGGAAATTCGACCGCGTCTTGCAAAAACCGCGGATGCGAATAGTGTTTTTGTTAACGTTACGTGGTTCTTGCTCATGAGGTCTCGTGATGTTGTAAGTAGATAACACGTGACGATGAAGAGAAAGAATGGAGGGCGCTATCTGCATTTATTTAGATTTTGTAACATCCGCGGACAGACTAAATCTCTCAGCGACGTCGCATCGACAGCCTTTTATAGTGTGAATATTGTGCTCTCGAATCCTTATTTTTTTAGGGATGACTGGTGTGTGACTGGTTGAGCAACCGTTGAAGGAAGCATGCCCCAGTTTGACAAACTTCTTTTGTATCTTCGTTAGAAACAGCGAACGTGCCATTATTTCCTTACGCAGATCGGGATTTTTACGTATGAGCTATAGAAATGTTAGTGCCTTATAGCAAAATGCAGTCCGTTTAACTTATAGGAAACGCGACGCAAGACCATAGAAGCGATTTCAGCTTTTAAAGGGGAAATGCTAGGCAATTACGTTCACGTTATTTTAATATTTACGTGTTGCAATTAGGAACGACGTACGTACCATTAGTATCCCTTTGTACATAGGTGTTTTTACAAAAATTGCAGAAAATTGCCAGAAATTGCAGTTCCGAACTAAGCGCAAAAATGTATATTTTGACTACATTTCTGGCTGAATTCAGTGCCAGCAAGAGATTGGTCGCACCGGCCAGATTGATGGTAGAGTCAGTCAGTGAATAGTTGATTCAATCACATTCCTAGCTGACAGGGAAGTGCCTCTGGCCAGTGCCAAAATCAAACCAGGAGCATAGCTAAAATTATCATACTTTTTCTTGTGAGGGTAAAATACTAAGGAAAAGTAGAGATAAATTTTAAAAAGTGAGTAATCCTCAATGTTCAGGGCATATTTCGAATACAATTAGTATTTTTCGGGAAATTTTCAATATAATGTAGAAATTTTTGTACAGAATTTGAGAATAGTCTCGTCAGATGGTCATCGACCGACACCTGAAACTTTCCTGTGTTTAACACTTGGCTGTTGAGACGTAAAGACGTATCTAGATTTCCACGTGATCCCTGTTCTATGTATAATGCTATGCTTTCCGGGGTTCATGTGAGAATAGAGATACGCCCTTACGACAGAAGAGCGACAAATTAGTGCAGCTTCCGGGTCTGGAATTTACTCTGCGATTCAAAAATCCGATCATGAAATGATAATCGTGAAATGACTTTTCTGGAAGTAATATAACAAGCAGAAAATTTGTTTTTCAGGACAGAAGTTAACTCTATGACTAAAATCTTCAGTTATAGAGACCAAAAATAAAACTTGGGAACCGTGTTTTTTTTTTTCTTGCGTCGTCGCGATCAGAGCTACGCAGTTTCCAACTTCAGGCATCGATGAAATTTTCTTCTTCTTCTTCCTCTTGTAACAACTAGTTTTTCAGGCTATCAAGGATCGAGCACAAGAAGCTATACATAAGTATTAAAAATCTAAAAATCACAAAAAATAAAGGACTCGAATCAATAAAAGCAGCATAAAATCGTCGATCATCCTCCGGAGAAGACAGCCAGATCTAACATTTTCAAAAAATCGAAATCTCCGGATGAGTCGAAAGCCATGCACACGGCCGCTGGTCAGTTTTTTTCCGCGCCCCGAGTTTGGCGAAAGGCCGCCGTCACAATCATGTTCAAATAATGGCATTACGCCCGGCTACCTGTCCAAAACATGGACTCTGGCTCGCGATAAGGCTCGAATGTGCTAATGGCACGCTGATTAGCGGTTACATGCACAGCCTTGCGTGCCGCGACGCACGCGTTCGCCGCGAATGCGCGACATTTCCAGGCAACCGGCTTCATTTCTCTCGTTTCGTGCACGGATTTTCGAAATGTGGAGTCAACTCCAGACCCGAAATCTGCTGTAATCATCGATTCATTCACGCTTTTGATAACAAGTGGTGTTTTTCCCCGTTTAAAAGCGCTCTCTACGCGCCTACGCGGTCCTCGCGTTCACATGTTTTGAAACGTAGAAAAAAACCACGGCTCCCAAGCTTTTTTTTGGTCCCTATAACTGGAGATTTTAGTCATAGAGAAATTCTGTCCTCCACTTTGCAAAATGGAGATTTTGGATTTATGGAAAAAATACAGCTGAAATGTGCCCCAGGCACAATAGATCCATTTCGTGCCTATACAATTGAAACAGAAAACCAGCATTTCAGCTAAATCTGACCAATATGTCCATGTTTGTTAACTCCCGCAATAGGTTCAATATTAGGATGCCTAAAATCCCCCCAAAAAACGAGAAAAAAGGTCAAATTTTCATCGTTGGTCCGACATCGCAGTGAACCTTCGGTTTGACTCCAGGTCTAGAGAAATGTAAAAATTCCACATTTCTGCATCATTTCTCGACTCAGAATGCAAAATTTTAGCAAAATTAGCGCGATATCTCTCTGTCCCTCTGCATTCGTTGTAGATTCACCTGGAACCGTAGCATGGCGGGGAAAAAGCTGGAATTTTTGTTGTATCAGTCCGACATCGCGGGAAATCTCCGGTTTGACTCCTGGTCAAGAGAGATGTAAAAATTCCGCATTTCTGCATCATTTCTCGACTCAGAATGCAAACTTTTAGCAAAATCAGCGCGATATCCCTCTTTTCCTCTGCATTCGTTGTAGATTCACCTGGAACCGTAGCATGGCGGGGAAAAAAGCTAGAATTTTGATCGTAACAGCCTGACATCACAGGAAAACTCCAGTTTGACTCAAGGTCTGAAAAAACGTAAAAATCCCTTGTTTACGCATCATTTCTCATGACACAACGCAAAATTTCAGCAGAATTTGCGTGATAACTCTCTGTGTCTTTCCGTCCATCGCGGATTCGCCTGAAACCGTAGGTTGGTTCACCATCCAAGTCGGCGTCGTCCATCGCGTAAGCAGACAGCGTCGTTCCCCATCCCCTCCATAAAAATCAATTAAAACAAACGAAACTGTCAATTATCTGCGGCCGACGTCGGAACCAGTAGCGGACGCCGCGACGCGCAGTGGCCGCGGCGGACAAAGCCGCGTCCGCGCGGAGGCAGCGAGAATGAAAGAGTTGCAATTGATCCGGCCATAATCAATCGGGCAGCGAGCCGGGGGCCGCCGCATGCCGGGGACCTGTGGCCGCCCCCCCCCCCCCCCCNAAGCGCCGCAACGGGGGAAGGGAACAGGGAGGGGGGGAGACGCGATGCAGTCATAGAAGCAAGTGGCAAGTGGATCCAGTATTGTGGATAGAGAAATACGATATACGGTATACAGAAAACAAGCACCCAAATCACTGATGAGTCGGACGGGGATGGGGGACGAGGGGGGATGGTTTGGGATGGGATGGGATGGAAGGTAGAGGCGGCAGGCACGTGGGGCACAGCTGCTCCGAGCTTGCTGCTATGTCGAGTGGTGTGTGGGAACGCAATTGAGCAGAGGTTTCCCACGAGTCTCGGGCACCTGGGATGGTATATAACCCCCACCTCCCGGCCGCCGGGACACATTCCTTCACTGTCCGCCGTGCCGTGCGCATCGTGTGCTACGCTACGCTCTCTGTGCTAAGTTACGTTGTGCTCTGTGCTCCGATCGCTAGGATCTGCTCCTCTCAGCTTCATCATGTTGCACGAAACCCTTATCACCTCTGTTGACTCTCAACCCATGTCAAGGACTTTCCAATACAAAAAGGTATGTACCGATTTTTGACCGTTTTGACTGTTTTCACCGTGATTGCAACCCGTCGAAGTTCGCGTTAAATCAGTGCGTTTCATTCCTGGTGTTTTAAGTGGTGTTCAAGTTCTGCTCCTTAAATTTTTCGGTAAAATTTATATAGTGAATTTTTAATATTTTTGTGGATATTATGTGATCAATCGTCTTCAATTTTTTACTCTTAATTTTTGCGCGTTTTTGCAATTTGACTTAGTCCGCGGCGTGATGTGTCGTCTGAAAATTTGCGGTCCGTTTTTCGCACTTAATTCATTTTAGCTGTTCTTTTCACGGGTTGCAATCGCGGTGTATCAATCTTGTTCCATATATATTGCTCTCATTCAACCCCTTGCTTGCTCTAAATTCAGACAGATCTCCTCAGATTAAAATTTTGACGCTTTTTCAGTTTAAGTATCATTAAATATTTTGTCCACTGTTAACTATCTAGTGCCCAATTTTCAACTTAGTTCCCTTAAGTTTTTAAATTTTTCTGGTGGCTCATTTTTAGACTTTACTAATTTTATTATTTCTGAGATCCGACTGGATTTAAGTACTTATCAATTCCCTTTTTGAAGTAATAACCATTTATATTTCTTGCGCTAGAACAGTCCTCTTCGCTATATTAATTTAACAGCTAACCTTTTGCTACATAAGAATATCGCAAGTGTTACTTATCAAATGCTTAATTTTACCGATTTCTCATGAAATTAAGTCACATGAGCAAACATAACTTAATTCCAAATCTAATGCTGAAATTCGCCAATTTTAATCATTTCCACTGTACCATTATCAATTTTCAACAAATCCCCAGTTTTCAAGTAAAATCTTTCATTTCCCGCTCTCTTCAAAGTTTTTCTCCAAGTCCTCGCCGACTAAAACGACTAAAGGGGACTTAACGCCGAGTTACCAAACATTAAATGCAACAGGTGTTTAATTCACCATTCTCTGCTAAATTCCACTTTAATTTTCTTCATTCAATGTTTGAATACCAGATGTAAAGTCACTTCATTACATATAAGATCCTTGCGTTAGAATCCTTGTGTTACCTTGCATGATCCCGATCATTGATTTCCCGCCCCAATTTTTGCCTACCCTCTTCGCGCCACGTTTGAAAATTCGCGCGCACGCACGTGGGCTCCAACCCCCGTCACCCCTCTCCCGCTCCTCCAGTGCAAGCACCCTTCGCAAGCTCCACCCCTCGCCCTACATATGCGTGTGAGGGAATTCCCTCACCCCTAGCTCACCTATCGCCCTACATTATTCCCAGTTATCGGTGTTTTCAGTTTTTTTTTTCGTATGAAACTTGCATCATTTTAACATTTTCACCCCCCTTATCTATATACGGTTTCATTGTCTTCGAGTTTTTGATGTTTTCAATCGGTTAACTAACAAATTCGTTTCTTTTCGTTTGTTACAGATTATGAAACCAATGTTGGAACGCAAGCGTCGCGCTCGCATCAACCACTGTCTGGACCAACTCAAGGAGCTCATGGTAACCGCCCTCCAGGCCGAGGGTGAGAACATCTCCAAGCTCGAGAAGGCCGACATCCTGGAACTGACCGTCCAGCACCTCCACAAGCTGCGCCGTCAGCAGCGCCTCGCTTCCAACCCCGTCATCGACTCCGACAGATTCCGCTCCGGGTTCACCCACTGCGCCACGGAAGTCTCCAAGTGCCTGGCCACCATCCCCGGCGTGGACATCCACCTGGGCACGAAACTCATGACCCACTTGGGACATCGCCTCAACGACCTCGACATGCTCACCCCGCTGTCCGTGCGAGTACCCGAAAGTGCCTCAGCATCCCCGGCACCCAGCTCCTCGAGCTCCTCGTACTCGCTGCCACCCTCACCACCCGTATCAACCCCATCATCATCGCCGACCCCCAGCACGCAGCACCTCCTCAAGGTCTACGAGAAGTGCCCCGCGTCACCCGAGCCCGTCTGGCGGCCGTGGTAATTTCCTAGGTTAGTTTTTCTTTTAGGTCCTTTAAACTTTCGCCAGTGTCTTTCATGAGTAGATATATTTTTGTTGTTCCATTTTGTAGGTTTAGGTTGTTGCTCATCAGTGCCTCGATTCGATGAGCTGTTTAAAATTTCAATGTTGCAGCTAGAATTTTTGTCCCGCGGATTGAATTTTATCAAATTGTTTCTCACAGTTTTAATACTCGCGTGCAAGATATTTAATGTTTGTTTTTTTAGCTCGAAACTGCCTTTAAATTCCGTGAATTGCTTGTTAAATGTTTCATGTTGCGGAACATTCAATTTTCGTAGAACAATTCTGAATTTTTTCTCTATCTCGTTTTGAAATGTCTTTTAATTTTTCAAGTGCAAATTCTCGCATTGAAATTGTTTTCTACTGAAGAAATGTTAATTTTTATTTCGCCGAAAGTTTGAACTTTGACTCAAAATTTTTAATTTTTCACAATTTCTAGAGGTCAGTAACTGAATACTGCCTTAAATTAAGACTTTAATCGATTGCCTTTCTCAACTTCATCGTTCGTGCCTTTTTTTATCGCAAGTTTTCTCGAGGTATATCAATTATTTCTCAAGTTGATGCTGCTCTCATTTTTCAAATTTGTTCTTGCAAAAGTTAACGGTAGCAGCTTAAAATGTACGTTTTTGTTTAATTTTTTTTTATATTTGACGGCACCGCGATCATTATGTAACTGTAGATATGCAGTGATAACCCTCTTTCGTGTAATATCGAAATGTGCAACATCTGTTACAAGTGCACAAACTTTAATCAGTGTTTTACTATCGAGGGTTCACATTTTCCTATTTTTGATCAAAACTTTGTTGATAAAATGGTGTGCCTCTGCATTTACGCCGATCTATATACTACTAAAATAACGTTCCGTTTTAACAGATTTTCCCAGTTTGATATTTTGATCTCTAATAACTTGCTACATACAATCTCATTATCACGTGTTAATGTTCATTTCAATTAAGAAAACGCAAAAATTAACTTGAAGTTTGTAATGTTCATCTCTAATTTCTTCTCTGAAGGACTTTCATAGTAATTTTAATCAATGTTTTCGCACAAATCTGACTTTCCCCATTTCATTGTGCAATTTATTTCTCTAAATTATGAAGGCATTATTAGCACTTCATTCAAATCTTCATTTTGCCGCTGTAAATTCACGTGACATTGTTTAGCATCCTCTCAATGAGCAGTTATTAAAATCTCATTTAGTGTAAATAAGTTTCTAGGAAATATCTGTGTAAGTAAGTATTTTGTGATTGCTGTTTCTGTGATAATAATTTAATTTAATGTTAATATGGATTTTGTTATGTTATTGAATGAATCAAGATTTGAAAAGATATTTTATTAAAAATTCTCTCAATGGTACTTCTCATCTTCTCAATGACATCTGAAATTTTCCCAGTTTTTATCGTAGTCCTGTCACAAATGTAGATCTTTGTGATTAAAAGCAAGTCCATCAAAACTTCCCATTTTTTTCTCATTTTCATAACTGTAATACTTTCTGTTCAACTTGCTTGCTTTTAATCATATTTTTCTAGAGTTGTTTCAAGCTTTAAAACATCAGCAAGTACAATTTTCTGTTTCGCATCTTATCATCTCGTCAAGTAGTTTTCTACCTCATATTTTCAACTCGTTTTAAAATATAAACAGAAAATTTTGCTTGCAATGTTAATTACCAAAAAGAAAGAAAAATTAAATGAAAAATAAGAAAAACTTTGAAGAACTTAGAAAAGTTAATATTTCACCTCAAGGTTTTTATTAATTTGAAAACTGAATTCAAACAAAGAAAGTTAAAGAATTAATTTTACCAAAAGAAAGAAAAAAAACTTCGAAGAACTTAAAAAAGTTAATATTTCACTTCAAGTTTTTAAAACTGAATTCAAGCAAAGAAATATGAAAAATTAATTTTACAAAAAGAAAAATATTCTGAAAAGAAGTTAATATTTCACTTGAAGTTTCATGTTGAGTTGAATACTATGGATTCATTTCATTTTCACAATTCTCAACTCTGTCATGTTTTCTTTGCAACGACTCTTGTTTTATACCTACATATCAAGTAAATAATCGAATTCTCGTAGAGTCATTAGAAATACATAGATTTTAAAGAACAAGTTAGCTCAATTTTTATCTCTATACTTGCCTCTGCAAAATGATCCTCATAGTATTTATTTATTCAAAAATTTTATTAATAGAGAAAAAAGAAATGAAAAAAAACATGTCTCACCAAACTCATTGCACTTTTACTCTTCCATCTAGAAATTCCGCAAGTATATGAAAAATGAATGGAAACAGTAATTTTTCTAAAATTGTTTTCTTCATCAGCTAAGCTAAGCTAAGGAAAGATCACTTTTTCATTCTAAAACCCATAATTCTTTCATCAAAGAGTGGGAAAAAATTGTTCTACCACCGAAATTTAGATAACAAAAGTTTCCGCCCCTCAGGTATCTAAAGGGTTAGCATAACTTCACAATCTTCTCAATTTTTTTCAACATTAAAGTATAATATCTAGACTACGTCTCTTAGCGTGCAAACAGAGTTATTCGTTATTAAGAGAGCGAAACACCATGCAATTTCGAGTAATTTTGATAAGACTGAGATTTTGTGATGGATAGAAAAACGATAAACGAGAAGTTTAATCCGAGTTATTGGTGTTCTGGCTTTTTTAAAAATGAGCGATTCAATTTTGGTTCGTGTTCAATTTTTACAAGTACGAGCTAAAAGCCCAAGAGGAAATTATACTTAAGTTTTTATCCTTTCCAGTCAAAAGACACTTTCATTACCTTCTAGAAGTCACCCTCCATTCATGCAAGTGCTATATTTTTACAGGAAAAATTTAACCCTTGCTTATTTGAATTGGCCAGTTGCGCTGGTAACATAATCGTGTTTTGATGCTTGATTTTTGTAGATTAGCTAAAAATAAAAAGATCTGTCTATACAGCAACTTCCTACATTGAATATTAACCGAGATATCGTCCTTTGAAAAGTCATGCTTTTGACGTCATCCACCGGGGTAGTGCATAACATGGTACTACCGCGGTGGATAACGCCATTAATCGAGTTTTCAAAGGCACGATATCTCGGTCAATATTTAACGTAGAAAGTTCCTGTCCAGACAGATCTTATTATTTTTAGCTAATCCACAAGAATAAAGCATCAGAACACGATTCCGTGACCAGCGCAACTGACCCATTCAGTTATTTTAAGAATTCTGAAAGTTTGCTCAGAAAGCTTTAAAAACTTCACAGTCAAAATAAAGTTTCTGGTTACATTCAGGCTCTGAAATGATTTCCTTGTCCTGAGTCGAAAACATCTCATAATTTGGACGTATTTCTGGCAAACGGAACTATGTGCATCAAGATATGAGCCCTGAGACCCATAAGTATATATGCGTAACAGGGCTCACGTCGTAATGCACATAGTTCCGTTTGACAGAAAAGCGCCCATTTGATCAATACTCAAGGCGAATCGCAAGTAATGCATGTAAGTACATAATTTATGAATAATTTTTATTAATGACTGCGCAGGCGAATCACAAGAGGCAAAATACGGAATTGTGTGGTTGATCTGTCCAGTAGTGATGCTTTTTTACTAGTCGCATCGAAAAAAAAAATGAATTGGGACCAGTTGGTCCCAAAATACCGCATTATGTATGTGGATAGGAGGCATGGGGGCCCCACGTATTTAAATGGAAATGTTTTTTTTTTAAATCCGTTCAAAAATTGATTCTTCACAAGAATGCCATCAGACATTTCACTCAAAATTGTCTGGCTAATTTTCTCAGAGGAGAAAAGTAAAACTTCATAGAATTATTGTTTAAATGAGGACAGCGGGTTGTCTTATAGACATTGAAAATGACGGGAAAATCTGTAACGTCACTGATCAAGATGCACGTTTTTTCTAATTCCATCATCAATTTACTCCGGTAAACATTTATTTTTGGAAAAAGTTGTAAATATTTTCCCTCCAAATAGTCAAGTACTTCAGATAAAAGTGCAGAAAATATACTCTCAGAAAATGCGGAAAAAATATCTACAAGTTTCCCAGAAAGTTCTTCTTTTATCAAAGGAATGTTCGAATAAGGCTCATACGGCGTTCCTCCTTAGCACCACCTCCCTTTGCTGCCCCATTTCCATTCACGCTTTTTTAACCAGGCATGAATATCGACTAGTTCGATCTGGTACGTAAAACGTGCTCCCGGTGCTAGGAATACGGACGGAATACGAGGCCGCTTGTTTCGCCTTCAATTTGAGAGCATGCAATTGTACCGTCATGTGGTCCCGCAGAATACACAGCAGCCGCATGTCACTCATACTACCGTGCTAAGGAAAAACGCCGTATGAACATTCTAGAGTAGCCACATTTCACCGGCTAGAATATGTATTTTTGAGGAATATTATGCATACTTCCCCTTGAAATTCTCAGATAATTTAGATTAAATTGCGTACGAAATTGTCCGAAAATTTGGAGGGAAAATGTTCACATATTCTTTTGAAAATTCGTATTTTATCTAAAGAAATTTGGCAACGCCTGAAGGTTCATACGGTGTTTTTCCTTAGCACGGCAGCGTATGAGTCAGTCAGTTCTTGTTTAGGGACTGTGAATAGGTGCACACAAGTGCACGTGGTGGTACAACACACTACTCGTAATTAGAGTTGTCGTTTACTCATTTTCTTATCTTACTATAGTAAAAAAAAATAAGGCCTTTTTTGTGTGTACGTCCGTGTCATTTCGCATTCTCATTGGTCTTTCATTAACCAATCAGAAAACGTCATTGAAAATCCCCGGGAAATTTAAAGGTATTCTTCCGTAAATCATTCGATATTAATGATAGGTAGACACGGATAAAAATAGGATGTATTTCTTCTAATTAACCAGGATAAAATGGAGGAATATTACCTATACAGGATAGTCCTGGAAAAACGGGATGTACCTCTATTAATAAACTGGGATGAAGGGAAGGATATCGATCTTTATGTATCGCTCTTCGATATATCGTTTGATTAAAAGGAATATTGACTGGGATAAAAGGTGATTTCTTCTCATTAACCAGTATAAAAGGTAGTAATATTACCTATACAGGATAGTCTTGGAAATAACAGGATGTACCTTTATTAATAAACCGGGATAACAGGAAGGATATCGATCTTTGTGTATCGATCTTCGATACATCATTTGTTCTAAAGCAGTATTGACTGGGATAAAACGGGATTTCTTCATAATTACCGGGATAAAAGAGAGGAATTTTACCTATACAGGATAGTCATGGATAAAACGGGATGTAACTATGTTAAGAAACCGGGATAACAGGAAGGATATCGATCTTCGATACATCGTTTGTTCTAAAGCAGTATTGACTGGGATAAAACGGGATTTCTTCATAGTGACCGGGATAATATGCAGTAATTTTACCTATACAGGATAGTCATGAATAAAACGGGATGTAACTATGTCGAGAAACCGGGATAACAGGAAGGATATCGATCTTCGATACATCGTTTGTTCTAAAGCAGTTTTGACTGGGATAAAACGGGATTTCTTCATAATAACCGGGATAAAAGGGAGGAATTTTACCTATACAGGATAGTCATGGATAAAACGGGATGTAACAATACTCATGCTCAATACTCTGTTTACTCATTTTATTATATATTTTTGTAAGGCCCAAAAATGTTGTTAATTTGTTATTTATAACTAAAATGAGCCTGGATCAGTGATCAGTCGGTCAGGAAGTATCTATAACTCGCATTAAACACAGATTCTTGGCTTTTGTGGTTATTCATGATTATGCACGTATTTATTTGTTTACTTCTTTCTTTTTTACTTTCTCACTTGATCATTCGGAGGAATAGAGTAAAAGTTCATAATCTTTCCCTCTTAGAACCAAAAGTACAAAATCGAGCTAATAATAACACGGATTGTCAGTCAGTTTGTTAGGGCGCTTTTCAAATTCTCAAGCCCGTTCACTTCGAGGACTGTAAATTTCGGATCCTCTTTTGCTCATTTGAAGGTTCCTACGCATACTTTTTTTTATTTTTTAACGAAAGCACACAAATAGGTCGTGAAAAATTTGCAACGTCGCAAAGTGAGGTTTGAATACATTTTACCTTACCCTTGGTGATGAGAAATTGTGTAGCTGCGCACGTACTCACTAGGGTGTCATTTCAACAGTAATCATCATCTTTCGCCATCAAGTCGAAGCGGTACCGTTGAAGGCGCTCTGAGCAACTATTCCGCCACTGAAGTGTTGCACAGTATCAGACGAAATTGAAGGCGCACCACCGTAAGTAAATTGACTGGTATCATCGGTTTACCACTGTGTACAGTTCTACCATGCTACTCCTGTTCGATCGATTTTTGTGAAACTT